GCTAGAGAGAGAGACAGCGTGAGCAGGGGAGGGTCAGAGAGACAGGGAGATACAGACTCTGAAATAGGCTCCAGGCTCTGAGCTGGCCGTCAGCACAGAGCCCGACGCGGGGCTTGAACCCACGAACCGCGAGATCATGACCTAAGCGAAAGTCGGACGCTTAACCGACTAAGCCACCCAGGCACTCCTGTAGGTATTGTCTTTGGGGAATAATATCCTACGGCCTTTTTACGCCACCTGAGGGACCACTTTTCCTTTAGCACAGCTTTTTCATGTTTCTCTGGCACCAACCCAGGGCAGAAGTGACAGTCTGCACTAGTGCTGGACCCATGGTGGGCAAATGTTGTGCATTCATTCACTCATCCATTCATTCATTCATCCGGCCAACATTTATTTTCTGCCATGGGTTAAACACAGGTCATAGTTAGCTGATTGAGGACAAAGGCCCTAAATAAAGGCACCGTATTTGGGGGCACCTGGATGGCTCAGTCAGAGAAACATGTGACTCTTGATCTCGGGGTTGTGAGTTTGAGCCCCACGTTGGGTGTAGAGATTATTAAAAACAATAAATTAGGGGCGCCTGAGTGGCTCCGTCAGTTAAGCGTCCGACTTCAGCGCAGGTCATGATCTCGTCGCCATCCGTGGGTTCGAGCCCCATATCGGGCTCTGTGCGGACAGCTAGCTCAGAGCCTGCTTCGGACTCTGTGTCTCCCTCTCTCTCTCTGCCTCTCCCCAACTCATGGTCTTTCTCAAAAATGAATAAACATTAAAAAAACTTTTTTAGACAATAAATTAAAACCTTTTATGTAAAAGAAGCTGCACTCAAACGCACTTTCCTGCTCTTGCATCAAAGGTGTCCACGCATTGCGGCTTCCGCTCCTGGATCCACACCTCCCGTGATTCTCCGTCTCTCCCCTCTCTGACGCCCTCATGGGCTGTGCCCCCAAGTGATCTTTTCTGGCTTTGATTATGTCACTTATGCCAGTGCCGGTCAGCCTTGTAGGGGCCTTTGGAGTCTATTTCCGATTCCCTTATTCTCACCCTCTCGATTTAGATGAACACACCTTGACTTTGAAGTCGCTAGTGTAGCCTCGTGGGAGGGAGGGAGGCCACACACTCTGCAACAAGGAAAAAGGTCGGATTTTTTTTTCTTTTAAGATTTTTTTTTAAGTAATCTCTTCCCCCATTGTGGGGCTCGAACCCGCTACCCTGACATCAAGAGTCCTGTGCTCTTCCAACTGAGCCAACCAGGTGCCCCAAGATCTGATATTTGAAAGTTTTGTTGAGAGCCAATAGTAAAGCCCCTTTAAGACATTAAGGGGCAGTTTACTAGTTTTTTTTTTCCCTAAGAACTTTAAATGCTGTCTGTTCTCCTCGTAGCTTCTCTTATTCTCCCCGTCACTCCCTCCCTCTCTCCCTTCCTCCTTTCTCTCTCTCTCTCTCTCTCAATTTATCCATTTGAAAGGGTAAAACATGAAGATGGGAGGGGCGCCTGTGTGGCTCAGTCGGTTAAGCGTCTGACTTCAGCTCAGGTCATGATCTTACGGTTCGTGGGTTCGAGCCCCGCGTCGGGCTCTGTGCTGACAGCTAGCTCAGAGCCTGGAGCCTGCTTCAGATTCTGTGTCTCCCTCTCTCTCTGACCCTTCCCTGCTCACGCTGTCTCTATCTCTCTCTCAAAAACAAATAAAACATTAAAAAATTTTTTAAAAAAAAAACATGAAGATGGGAAAATTATATCAGATGAACGTTCACACTGTGTAAGAAAATTGTTTTGGGAAAGAGATGAACTGTTTTGCTCTCGATAACATACAACTTCAACCTTTTTTTTTTTTTTAATGTTTTATTTATTTTTGAGACAGAGAGAGAGAGACAGAGCACAAGCAGGGGAGGAGCAGAGAGAGAGGGAGACACAGACTCCAAAACAGGCTCCAGGCTCTGAGCTGTCAGCACAGAGCCTCACATGGGGCTCGAACCCACACACCGTGAGATCATGACCTGAGCCAAAGTCGGACGCTTAACCGACTGAGCCACCCAGGCGCCCCAACAGCCTCAACCTTAATATAGCTCCCGCCACCCTCCTATAGGCACACAACGTTTACACACACACACACACACACACACACCCAAGCTGGGATTGTTCAGAGGCTTAAAATTCTTTTCTCAGTTAATCTCAACAAAGTGCAGTGTATATTTCAATCCAGGTATAAAGAACTGAGATCTTCAGAGCATTGAGGCCGCTGCTTCCCCTTTAGAATAATTACAATTTCTCATTTCCCGGGATCCTCCAGTGCCCCCGCTGGTCATCGAGAACGACCTGTAACTGGCAGCCCCTCGCCACTCGCTTGTGGCCACTTTTTGCTGTTGCCCTTCAACACCTCTCTACCCGTGTTCTGTCCCTAGCTTTTGAAGAGGGAGAACAACAGATTGCTGAGTTACATGGGGCTGGATTTTGACTCTTTGTCGTATCAAGTGCCTACTTCAGATCAAGGAGATGCAGGACGAAACCCAGCACTTGTCTACGGAAACCCCTATTCCGGTAAGGCAACTGCCAGTTGAGCTAGAAGGGCCCCTTGCCTGTGTCCTCTCCCCCCCTCCCCCTGCCCACAAACAAATTTTTTTTTTTGGTCCGAGATGCTCATTAAGACCAGTGTCATTGTTAAGAGTCGCCGGGCAGAAGCCGAGCACCCAGTAGAAAGATTGCCAGGCGAGAAGTGTTAATTGAGAAATAAATCTGAATCTAGAAGACGCAAATCAGATCATTCGCCTCGAGGCAGCGGACACAAATTGAGTCCCGGGGCTATATTCCAAATATATAAATCAGAGAGATGTCTCTGTGTAGATGATACACACACACGAGCAAGACTGAGGAAGCTAATTAAGGTTTGGAAAGGGAAGCGCAAGGGGCGGGGTGTGCCCCCCGGGAACGGGCAGCCATGGCGGCCACCGCGATGGCCTGACCAAGGGTAACAGGACCATGGACCACAGAGACCCCGGGCTGGTTTGAGGGACAGGAGGCGGGCATGAAAACCGGTCTTGTCACTCAAGGCCTGAGGGTCAGCTTGTCCTCGCCAGGCACAAGGGAACGGGGGACTTTTCCTCTTTTGTCTCCAAGAGCGATGGAAGACCTCATTGCCTTTTCTTGGGCGTTTAAAGCAGTCGTGTTCTCTCTCAACATCCCAGTCAGATCTTTCCACCGGGCAGGGGTGAACATTTCATTTTCCTCTTTGAAAACATTTTCTAAGCATGTCATTTAGAAACACCTGTTTGCCTGGATTCAGTGTTAAAATCTATTCTCAAATTGTTTTCTTATTAAGTCGTGGCCGTTTTTATTAAAGTCTCATTTTTCCCGTACCGAGAAGGGGTTTATTTATCTTTTTCCTGATCATATAGCAATATACATGGCTGTCGCCAAGACCGCTTCATTATTTTTGCCTCTTTTCCCTTTATCGTTGACCTAGATCCCCTTCTGCCAGAAGTTAACGGTACATAGGAGAGAGAGAGACGCAGTGGGGAGAAGGGAACAAAGAGAGTTACAGAAGACAGCTGCTATAGGTCACAGAACGTAGGGATGGGATTTCTTTCATCGAGTGAATTCTTTGTTATCCTCCTCAGGTATCCAGGAGAGTTCTGCCCCAGGCCTGGTAAGTACGTGAATCCTGAGATTGCCCGCATCAGATCCTTGAGAAATGTCCCTTCCTGCTCAAGGTCACGGGAGAAGCGTAGGGAGCCTGGTTCGTGTCGATAATTCGGGTGGTCAGCTGGATTCATTGGGTCACAACCCGAAGCTGAGTGAGCCTGTTGAGGGGGAGGAAAGCGCGGGCCGTCCATCAGCTTTCTGCTGGAGCCCTCCCGCCTGTGAGCGGAGTCTGGTCCCGGGCCGAGGGAGGAGATGGTGAGCGAGGCAGCCAGCCCGGCAAGGTGCGCCCGGTGTCCCTTCTGGGCTGGGAGCTCTTGGACGGCGTTAGCAGCAGTGGGGAGAGATGTGAACTTGTCCATTCGTGCTCCGTTTTCTCGAGCACCTGCCGCGTGCCGAGCACGAGGCTCCATGCTGAGGCTCTAGTAGGACTCGAGACACAGCCTGTGTTACGCCGAGCTGGCCTCTGGACTCACCCCTTTGCTCTTCCCCTCCCCCCCCCCCACCAGCTCACCATCAGGAAGTGCCCCACCTGCAAATCCGACTTCGCCGATGACATTCTCGATCCCGCCGCCGAGCAGCAGCACCTGCAGCCCCTTTGTCTGAATTGTCCGATTTGTGACAAGACCTTCCCAGCCAAAGACAAGCAGATCTTCGAAGACCACGTGTTCTGCCACAGTCTCTAAGCGTCCCGGCCTCTTGGCTCTGTACGTCCCTAGATTTTTATATAGTGTAGAACCTAGAGCTTCTACTTAGAGTGATGACCCAAGACCCCGCCTAACATGATGAGATTAGGGACTTCTTGGTCCCGCTGCCCTCAGGGTGGAGTCACACCATGATTCCGTGGTGAGGGCTGTCACGTCCAACCTCGTGGGTGACTGCCACCTTTTTTAAGTCCTGTAACTAGCTGTGTCCTGCTCACTGCTGGCGCCCCGCCTTCCGCGCCCCGCCTCCAGCACAGAGGAGGCTCCCTCCACAAGCAGGCTTGACTCAGTACCAAGTGATCCATTTTCCGGGCTGTCCCAGTGCCCTTCAAGGTCAGGCCTGAGGGTTCTTGCACTCAGTTCTGAGTGTGAAGCCTGCAGCCAGCGATTGGGCACAGCTTGAGAATTTCTTCCTCCCCCCTCCTCGGGTCTCTCTCTCTCTCTCTCTCCCACTGATGGCAGTAAACTTGCCAAAAATGGTCACCGCAAAGAACTCGGTCATCCAGTTTGGAGACCAAAGGTTCCAACAGCCCCCAGCAGAAGCATCTTATTCCTGAGCCCTGGACACAAAATATTATTTCAGTCACAGAACGCCTTCTTTCCCTCCGGATACCTCTGTTTGGCCTTTTCTACTCTTTGATCTTTCCTACGCACGTAACTCTCCTGGTTGTAAATCCTTTCGTAACGATTAGCAGGACTTGTTAGAAACAGTCTGGTTTTGCAGCTTTCTGTGCAGGTGAGTTTTGAATATGGCGAACTCCGAATAACGAGAGCTATTAATCTCTTTAATACTAAAAATAAACGAGTCCTCTGTTTCAGGGACGTTGGTAACTTAAATTTGGTCGAGTCTGTAGTCTTTTTTTAATTCTTTTTTTTTAATTTATTTCTGAGAGGGAGAGCACGCGTGAGTGGGGGAGGGTCAGAGAGGGAGATACAGAATCTGAAGACAGGCTCCAGGCTCTGAGCTGGCTGTCAGCACAGAGCCCGACACGGGGCTCGAACCCATGAACCCTGAGATCGTGACCTGAGCCACAGTCGGACGTTTAACCGACTGAGCCACCCAGCCACCCCTGTGGTCTTTTGTTTTTAAGCTTATGAGAAAAGGGTAACCAAGAGGCGTGTGGGAATTGTAGGCCCCCCCAGTGATTTCGCTTCTTTTGCCTTGACTCCTCCACAAAAGTGCTCCGGCCGTTACCTTGAGATGGAGAGGAAGGTGATGGAGCATTCGTTGGAGAAATCTGGAGCTTGACTTCTTGCTCCAGCTCCCCGTGCATTTTTGAAGGGGGCCAGTGTGGATTTTGGCACTCTGCGAACTAAGTTCGGTGCCGTCCATCCCGATATACCTAATGGAGCTATAAGAAAACAATTCCATTTTGTCTCCCCCTCCGGGGACAGAACATAAGGAAGTGACTCTCGGGCAACCAGCACGTCCCCATAGAGACTTTTACAAAACCTTCAGAATGATGTAAAACGTGACGTCACGAATAAGGAATTGAGTCAACTTCCTTCTGGGGTTTCCCTTCCCCTCCCCCTCCCCACCACTGCGATGGTCAGCCGCTCCTTGTCTTTATTACTCCTTTGATAAAATGAACATGAAACTATCCTCCTCCTCTTCCTGTTCCTAGATCAGCATTTCTTTTTTTTTTTTAATGTTTTGTTTATTTCTAGGAGAGAGAGAGACAGCGTGAACAGGGGAGGGTCAGAGAGAGAGGGAGTCACAGACTGAAGCAGGCTCCAGGCTCTGAGCTAGCTGTCAGCACAGAGCCCGACGCGACCCCACGAACCGCGAGATCATGACCTAAGCTTAACCGACTAAGCCACCCAGGCGCCCCCCTAGATCAGCATTTCAATGAGCTGTCTCTTGGACCCCAGCCTTTCACCCCTTAAGATTCAGATGCGACAGTAAAATAAACTCTAGTAGAGAAATGTAACGGGGAGGTGGTGACACACTGTCCCTGGCAGACCCCCTTCCTCGCTGCAGAATTTCTGCCGCTCCCTAGATAGTTCCAGTGAAGGGCTGCAGTTTCATTTATTTTGCACTCGTCAGCTCTTAATTAAGCACATGAATGGAGAAGCGCAGTGGTGCACGTAATCCAAATCAGCGAATGCCATTTTCTGGTGAATTATCCGCCCCCCCCACTTTTGCCCCCGCTACCCCGAGGGTTACCATGATTAGCATCAGCGGCAGCAGGAACCCTTCCACAGCCGGTGGAAAACAACAAAAAACGAAGTGTTAATGATCCTTGTTGCTGGATGTAAAACAAAGCATCTTTAACCACTGTTCATTATCCCCAGCTGCTCTTTACCAAGACTTTGAAGGGGAAATTATACTCCCTGCCGCCCCTAGCGAAAGGAAACATCATTCTTTATAAGCCACCCCTTACCCCAGCCTTTCCCCCTCCCCTCCTTGCACCCACGCGTTTTATAGCTGTAAACTACCTGCAAAACATAGCAGGAAGTTAAGGGAGCAAACAGCATTTAGATCCACACTGGGGTTTAGAATCTTCGTACCAATTAGGGCCACAAGCTTTCTTCCCTAATTCACTTCCTCCTGGTCTGCTATTAAAACGGGTTTGCACTACTTAGCACACTTCCTCGATGGGCGGTGGGGAAAAGTCCCCTGGCACTCGCGTGTGTGAGAGAGGTGGGAGAGGAAGCTGATTAAAATCAGAAACGTGAGGGGCGCCTGGGTGGCTTAGTCGGTTAAGCGTCCGACTTTCGCTTAGGTCATGATCTCGCGGTTCGTGGGTTCGAGCCCCACGTCAGGCTCTGTGCTGACTGCCAGCTCAGAGCCTGGAGCCTATTTCAGAGTCTGTGTCTCCCTCTCTCTCTGACCCTCCCCTGCTCGCTCTGTCTCTCTCTCTCTCTCTCTCTCTGTCTCTCCTAGAAAAAAAAAAAAAAGAAACGTGAGAACTGGCAAGATACTCCGAAAGCCCGGGCCCCTAAGAACACCTGTAGCTTCGGCCCTTTTTCCTGGACTTGCTAAAAAAAAAAGAAAAAAAGAAAAAAAAATTGGGATGAAACAGAACTGCCCTGATGTCTAAGGATCATTGTCCTAGGGTTTCGGGTGATTTTCCGCAGTGGCGCGGGCTGCACCGAGCGAAGCGCACTCTAACCTGGTCTCCTGGCAACGGATGGTGATAAGCGGCGAGGCCCTGGCTGAGCACAGCAGACTCTCGGACTCTCCGTGGGGATCAAACTCAAAGAGACACTCACCTAAGTCCCCTGAGGTGACCAACATGAGGCCACACACTCAGGGAAGCTAGACTAGCCCCAGCACACCTCTTAGTTGATCTCCTATAGATATTAAATTAATCGCCTTTCCACGCAGGTAAGCGCTTTAGAGTTTAGACCACGTTCCTCCATTCCATGTAGACTTCCAGATACCTCTGAAATGGTTCCAAACTCCCATTTTTATAGTTGAAGAAGTTGAAACATGGAGAAATAACTTGCTAACCTGGGAACAACCCAAATGCCGATCAGCTGATGAGTGGGCACATGAAATAGGTCGTTATCTAGAGGATGTGATATTATTTGGGAATGAAAAGAACGTGAGGGGCACCTGGCTGGCCCAGTAGGTAAAGCTTGCGGTTCTTGATCTCAGGGTATGAAGTTTAGCCCCACATTGAGCATAGAGGTTACTTAAAATGTAAGGGGCACCTGGGTGGCTCAGTCGGTTAAGCATCCGACTTCGGCTCAGGTCACGGTCTCGCGGTTCTTGAGCTCGAGCCCCACGTCCGGCTCCGTGCTTCCAGTCCAGAGCCTGGAGCCTGCTTTGGATTCTGTGTGTCCCTCTCTGTCCCTCTCCTGCTCATGCTCTGACTCTCTGTCTCAAAAATAAATAAACATTTTAAAAAATGATAACATTTTATTTTTTTAAATGTTTTAAATGTCTTTATTTTCAGAGAGAGTGAGGAGGGGAGGAGCAGAGAAAGAAGGAGACACACAATCCGAAGCAGGCTCCGGGCTCTGAGCTGGCTGTCAGCACAGAGCCCGACGCGGGCCTCGAGCCCGCGGACTGTGAGATCATGACCTGAGCCAAAGTCGGACGCTCAACTGACTGAGCCACCCAGGCGCCCCCTCAATTTCTTTTTTAAAAATTTTATCGGGGCGCCTGGGTGGCTCAGTCAGTTGAGCGTCCGACTTTGGCTCAGGTCATGATCTCACAGTCCGCGGGCTCGAGGCCCGCGTCGGGCTCTGTGCTGACAGCCAGCTCAGAGCCCGGAGCCTGCTTCGGATTGTGTGTCTCCTTCTTTCTCTGCTCCTCCCCCACTCACACTCTGTCTTACTCTGTCTCTCAAAAATAAATAAAATGTAAAAAAAATTTATTTAAATAAAAAAAGGAATTGAGTATTGACATGTCACAACATGGAAGAACTTTGAAAATATGCTCAGTGGAAGAAACTAGAAAAGACCACATAGTATGTCATTCCATTTCTACGATATGTCCAAGACAGGCAAATCTATAGAAACAAAACAAGTTACTGTTTTCCTATGGCTGAGGGTTGGGAGAAATTGGAGAGTCACCGCTAAATGGCTCTGGAGCTTCCTTTGGGGGGTAAAGAAAACATTCTAAAATTTATTGTGAATGGGGGGCCTGGGTGGCTCAGTGGGTTGAGCATCCGACTCCTGATTTCACCTCAGGTCATCATCCCAGCATCGTGGGAGGAAGCCCCACATCCAGCTCTGCTGAGTTGAAACCTGCTTGGGATTCTCTCCCTCTCCTTCTGACCTTCTCCCTTGCACACACTCTCTCTCTCTCTCTCTCTCTCTGAAATAATAATGATAAAATTTATTGTGGAGATGGCAGCACAACTATGAACTATTGAATTACACGCTTTAAATGGGGGAATTGTGTGCTATGTGAATTCTCTCTCAAGCTGTTGTATTCTTAAAGGGTTAAAAAACTTGCGAAGGTCATCCCTGGGTTCACGGTAGAATATCGGAAGCACAGACAGAGAGCTGGGTCCACAGTTTTGAACTCGGTCGGCGTATACTTATTTCAGTACAACCCGCTGGGCTCACAACAGCATTGGGCTCTCCCCTCACCTGGGGCTGGATGCAGGCAGCAGCTTTGGGGGTGATGGAATCGAGATGAACAGGGTCAGGGCATGTGGTAGGAGTCCACCACTTGGCCGGCCCCATTAGCGGCCTCCGGGAATATCTATTCCGCGGAGATGAATGTCCCCAATAAAGTTGGGGGAGAGAGTCACCAGCCACAAATGTCAGATAATCATATGAAGGGATCCAGCCTGCTCTGCCTAATGTTATTACTTTCTCCCTGTGGAAAGAAAGAATACGGCACTCTGGGGACTAAGTCTATTGTTTACTCAGTCCATCAACATTTATTGAGCACCCACAGTGTGCAGAACTAGCACACGGCCCGGATTTTAAAAAACAGAAAAGTTCTGCCCTCGGGGTATCCACAATATGAATGAAGACATTACATTCTCTCTGTCGTCAGGGAACTCTTTAAACTGCTGGGGGAGAATCTCTGATTTCTTTTTTTTTTTTTTAATGTTTTATTTATTTCTGAGAGAGAAAGAGAGCGTGAGCAGGGGAGGATCAAAGAGAGAAGGAGACACAGGATCCAAAGCGGGCTCCGGGCTCTGAGCTAGCTGTCAGCACAGAGCCCGACGTGGGGCTCGAACCCACGAACCGTGAGATCATGACCTGAATCGAAGTCGGACGCTCAACCGACTGAGCCACCCAGGCGCCCCGAGAGTCTCTGATGTCAGGGGTCTCCTAATCTGATGGGGAAAAGAGAGAGCCACCCACAAACGCAATTTAAGGACAGCGGGGGGGGGGGGGGGAAGAACGCTTAAGCAGAGGTGCTA